CAGAGGTGTTTGCGTAGCTGCGCCATCCGTCTGTATGTTAAAGGAAGCCAACAACCCTGCTCCACAGGAGCCTTTGCCTTGAAGGGGTGTGGGAAGAGCAGGTTTTGGCTATTCCAGGTCCCATGCACGGAGTGGCTCCGCTGAGGGAAATGCTGGATAAGAAAATCAAAACAAGAAAAAATACATGATGAGGGGAGAGAAAAGAAAGGGCTGAAACTCTTGTCCTTTATGCAAGGTCCTGCTTGCAAGCTCAGGAGAAATAGGCTCCAGGATCAAGTGGATGCTGGATGCTCGATGAAAAACTGCACCTGGTGCGATAAATCAGTGTGATTAAACATGATGCTGAACAGGGAGGGGGAAGGGAGGAGGGAGGAGGGAGGGTTTGCTTTTTGGTAGGACCCCCAAATGGGATAAGGCACATCCTCCTACCCCTGTTTGCAGAGGAAAACCCAAATTACCTGGTCTCAAAAGGGGATGTGTGAAGGTGCTGGCTTCACAAGCAGAGGAGGGGCTATAGGCTTACTCATAGGTCTATAAAATCTGCTTCTTTGGGTCTTTCCTGCAGAATTAACCCTGGGTTGACTTCAAAGTTGGGAGCTGGGGGTGTTTCTCCACACAAAGGGAGATTAAAGGCCCCGAGAGCCTGTAGGCTCACCCTTGTGACGAATGACTCCATGTCCTGGAAGGTCTGTTCAGGCTCGGTGAGGAGCTGTGTTTGCCCAGGTGTGAGCAGAAGCATTGTTCCCACCAAACAATATCCCCTCCATCGACTCTGAGGTCGTTCAGGTCCTGGGTCAGCCCAGGAACACGAGAGGAATAAAGGCAGTGGGGACGTGTGGCCCGTGGATGCTTGGACCTTGGAGGGGAAAGCAAAGTCTGGTAAGGGAACCTCTTTTGGGGTTTTGCTTTGGGATTTTTTTTCGTGTCTTCCTTCTGCGTTTCGTGTCCGTTGGCACCATCCCAACACACCCTCTTAAATATCCCAGGGGACAGCTTCCATTTATTTGAATGCTATTTTTATACTCATTCAAATAGGGCATTCTGCTAAATTGGCATCAAAATTTATTTTTTTGGTGAGAAAAACAGCAGAAGTGGGGAGTTTTGGCAGCCCGGCTAGCTCAGTCGGTAGAGCATGAGACTCTTAATCTCAGGGTCGTGGGTTCGAGCCCCACGTTGGGCGCTCAAGTGTTTTTTCCTTTTATTTCTGAGCACGGACAATTGCTGGTGCTATGTCTAAGCAAGAGGTGGAAGCATCTTAGGAAATAAAGTGTGGGTTTTTTCTCTCATAAGATCATTTTATTCACTTGGGAGATTTCTGACTTGAAAGCATGGCTATTAATTTTAATAGAGCAGAAAGGTGGAATTGCCTGCATTTCAGGTTTTTTAGACAACCCTCCAGCACCTTAATAACAGGCTTTCAGTTTCTCTGCTTGTTTTACCCCAAAAGGGACATCACAAACACCTGTACTGTGAGGTTTTTGCCTGACTGCTTTTCCCCCTGCTAGAAGGCTGAGGACTGAGGAAACTCGTTACAGATATTAATAAACTGCCTGAGCCATTCTCATTCATAGGTAACCCCGTGCTGGGCTGAGGTGCAGTTGGGAGGTCAGGATCCGTCCCCTTTCCCAAGATGAAGGTGCTCTTCTTGGGGCTGACCCTTGTCTTGTGCATCGGAGTCGGTAAGTGGAGGGTTGCAATTAAACGAGATTTAATAAAGTGCAGGGATCTAATAAAGGGCATGGGTCTTGCCAAGCTCTTGATGTCTGCGGCGTTGTCGTTGTGTGGGCTGGGTGTCGTCTGCTCTGAGTCTATGGTCAGTGGAGAGAAATCTCTGCAAATCTTTACCATTGCTTGAACGAAAATGACTTTCTCTCCACTCGGTTCCCAGGGGAACGATTAAATCCAAAGAGATCGCCTCTGCTTCAGCTGTCAGCTGCTGGATCCTGGGCTAGGTCTGCACTTGCCCTACCCTAGCGAGTTGTTGTGATGGTCTTGCTGCGGATGAACCCCATTTCAGCTAGATGAACCCCACCCCAGAGCCCACATCCATACTTATTATCCATGGGTCTTTAGTTTGGTTTGGTCACCTCAGGTTGCCTGCAAAGCTCTGCCCGTAAGGGTTAAGTGTCCGTAGGCATCGTTTTGCATCTCCCCTGCAGATGGGGGCTGTCATTACCAGGTCTGTCAGTGAAGGTGATGCTTGGTCCCTTCCCTGGTGGGCTCTACTTCTTCTCTGGGGTCAAGCCCATCTTATCGTAGGGGTTTTTGAAGCAAAACATCCCATGGCTCTGCAGAACGGAGCCCCGAGTTCGTTGCCTCTTTGTTCGCTGCAGTTGAGGCTCTTCAATGCAAAGTCTGCAAGTACAAGATCCCCTTCGTCGGATGTTTCCGGGGAGCGAATGAGACGACTTGTGAGCGGAAAGAGAAATGTGCCATCATTAAAACCTCACTGGGTATGTAGTGGAGGGGAGGTCAAAACTATGTGTCTCCTTTGGCTTAGTGGGAGTTGTCCTTCTCTTTGGAAAACCAAAATGATTTGTGGAATGAATGAGGATGCATTGATGAATCCGATGTGGCAAAGGGCCAAATGCTTTCTTGCGGCAGAGGTTGCCCTAGGTATGGTTAAAAAAAAAAGTCCCTTTTAGGCAAAGGAGAGGCTGTCTCCCAAAAAAGCCATATGAGTTTGGTCTGTCTGTGCCCATGCCTCACTTAGTTCTTTCTCCTAATTAAAATAAGCAATTTAGGTGAGTGGTTTAAGGGTCTGGTTTCTCACCTGGTAACTTCAAAGTCCACCGCTGATTTTTATCAGTTCAGCACTGTGTTCTTCTAACCATGGTCCCTTTCTTCCCACCACCTCTGCAGGGAGGATGACCCTTTATTACCAGCAAGGCTGCACCTCCGTGATGAACTGCGGCCGAGAACGGGCATCCGACGCAGAATCCCGCCTGACGTCCCGGTATTCCTGCTACTGCAACGAGGAGTGGGATGAGGACCCCACAGATTAACCTGCAGCTGGGGCAGGATCAGGGCTATTGACGTGGTCCAGCCATGTCAATGCTATCAGTCCTCTATTTAATCTTGCAGGATTATCACCCTTAAATTAGGATGGCTGGACCCACTCTGGCTGCAGGGCTCCTCTAGGCATCTGGCCTGATTTAGTTTCAGCTCTAGCAATAAACCCACAGGTTTATAAACGGCAGCTGAATTTGGCTCGTGTCTGTGTGTTCCTCCTCCAGACAGATGCTCCTATTCACAGCTCTTCAGACTCGGCGTTCCTGGTGCTCTTGGAAGCAGTTTGTGGCCCTGAAGATAATCCTGCTACTAAAACCCCAAGGGCAAACCAAGGTGCTTTCCCTTCGTTGCATCTCATTATTTTTTTTTCCTACACTGCAGGGCTGGGAACTTCTTTGGGAATTTTGCGCCAAGGGTTGCAAAGGAGAGCATCAGGGAACTGCTGGGAGCCAACAAAAATAAAGGGCATGTGTATCTGACAGATATTAGGTATTTATTTCACCCCTGCTAAACCCAAATTCCCTTACTAGTGGACAGAAGCTGAGTCATCTGTCTAGAGGAGACAATAAATGGTCATTGGGGAGGTACCAAACTTCTGTTGTGGATTTTGGATGAAACCTAAAGGAGCAGCTTGGTCAATTCGGGACACCTGTAGCTGCTGCCTGCAGCCCAAAGGCCCTGAAGAGGAAAAGGCAATGAATTATAGGCAGTTTTAAAATAAATGGGTGTTTTTAAGCATCACCTGTATCTTTGAGGGCAAAACATCTATTGTGGGAGGGGAAACCATGAGCATAAAATGCGGGAAGAGATTCTGCTGTTGTCACTGGCCTAGGAAAAGGGATATTTTGGACTTTTTCTGCCTTAGTGCGGCACGGGGGAGAGGGAAACAGGAAAAGTGGGTTTATTTTGTCTGATGTATCTGTAGCTGGGAAGCTCAGCGCAGTAAGAAGTTACTTAGCTAAATGACAGACCATAATTTTTAATGAGGATTAAAAAAAAATCCTGTCTGCTGCACTGGGCAGCAGAAGGAAAGGATGCTCCTTTTTGATTTTTACCCCCTGAGGAGTTTGTTCTGCAGATCAAGTGATTCTGATGTGGCTTGGGGTTGCAGGGGCTTCGTCCTTGCGTGGATATGGGTGTCTCCTGGAGCCAGGTTCAACTTCCAACCTGGTTTTGGGGATGAAGTTTGGAGGAGACCCCTTCCAGCCTTGGGACTGAGCCTGAATCTCTGTCCATCTAGCCTCGTAACTGGCTCCAGTTTTGGGGTAAATAAGGGGAGATTCAGTGCAGGATGGTGTTTGCTCACACATCTCCTACTTGGAAGCGCAGACATGAGAGCCTGAACGTGTTTGGACTCACCTAACATAGGACAAAACTTTAAAGGACCATCAACCACAGCATGGTTTGGTACCAAAAGTCAGTCCTGCAAGAAACCGTGTTGTATGGGGTTGAATCCCCCCCGCCCCCCTCGCTCCTATGTGCTGTTTTTGATGTCCCAACCTCTCCTTCCCTAAATAAGGCACCCATGGTAGGTTGCAGGAGATGTTTCTGCCCTTTGCGTGTTGCTACCCCAAATATGAGCTGGGAGACGAATTGTCCATTGATGGCTTTGGAGGAGGGATGAAAATCTCCCCTCCTTCCCGAGACCCCTGCTCCTCTGGAAGGAGAGCGGGGGCATTGGAAAGGGTTAATGGGCTTGGAGACGGGTGCTGGAAATGTGATCCTGGCTCTGGGCAGGGAAAAGAGCTTTGGCACAGAGGATGAGAGCAGAGACAGAGTGGCCGGGGAGGAGGAGGAGGAGGGAAGGAGATCGGTGGGCACCCAGGATAGATGCAATGGGGGAGGGGAAGGAATGGTAAGTGAGATGGGGTGGGTTGGGTGACAGAGGGGACAAATGGGGCAACCGAGGACTGGAAGGGAGAAGGAGCTTGAGCAGCATCGAAATGTCAGAGTTATCCAGGGTTCGGGCTGGTTTCCTTCACCAGAGCATGGTGGAACGACTGCCGCGGGCTGCGTCCTGCTGGGACCCCTCGGCTACCAGGCTCGTCCCCCACCTGCCCCGCACTAGCGCCCTCCCGATGCAAAAAGTTGGACGATTTGGGAGGATGCCCCTTTCCTATGCCTCTACTCCGAGGTACGTTGGGTCAATTGGGGGCATAGGGCAGTGGGATGCGCTTGTCCATCTGTCCAGAGGTTGTCTGTCCTTTCCCCCCCACCCCACCTTTTTCTCCTTCTGCTTTTCCTACTGGGCTGCCCATTGCTTCCATCGAGGTCTCTCACTCTTTGTCTTTGCTATTTATGCACCTCTGGGTAGCGTATGGATTTCTCTCCATTTCTCCCATAGGACCCCACCCCTTCCATTCTCTCTGCAGAGAGGTGATGAAAAATGTATGCGTGGCACAGGAAAAATATATAGTTGGTCTTTGTTTACAGATCAAGAGGAATGGAAGGTGGAAGAGAAAGCCATTTCCCTTCTATAGGGCGTGATGTGCATGTGGGTACAAATATACATATATTTCAATGTGTATGAGAAGGGGTAGGTAGATAAATATACACGGGGGTGGAAATGGTGGTCTGAAGAAAAATTCCTTTTTCATAGGGAACTGGGTGCATGTAAATGGATATAATTGCATATATAGGGATATATGTGTGTACGTATATATGGACGTCTCTCTATATAAGTCTCTACGTGAATGTATATATTCTGCTATTTGCCAGAGTCATTTGTTCTGTGTTATTTCTGATCATAAACTAATGCGGGTCATAGCAAGCACTGATATTTAAATTTTATTTTCCTGTGAGAAGATGAGGAGATTCCTTTCCAAGCCCAGAATTGTTTTTAAACTGACCTAAAAAAGCTCATCTCTAGTCCCAAACGAGCAAGTCTGGATTAGCAGTGAATGCATGCCTGAAGTCTGATGCTCCTGTTTAGCAGATGCTAGAAAATGCAAATGCCAGGAAAGTTTTAAAGCTACCAAAGAGGTTCAAGTGGAGGATGGATACCCCTCCTCAGTTGATGGGGTTTTTTTTCCCGCCCAATTGCAAAGGTATCAGGATGAACACAACTCATAAAACAAATCGGGAACCCTTTGCAAACCCCTGGCATCGGGACACCAAGACTAGCTTTGCTAACATAACTCCGCCGGTACAACCTCTAGGGTTGGGATTTGTCTCCCCTTAGCTCTGGACGTCTCCAAGGGAAAAATCTCACCTTGGATGTGTCAGATCAGCCGGGCTGGCTTTGAAACCAGCATTTATGGACAGGATCACTTGGTCTGTTTTCAAGTCCTCGTTAGGAGAAGGTAAATTGCTCTCCAGAAGTGCCAAAACTTCTGTGATGATGATGTGACCCTCGCAAGTAACTAGATGACTGTAACTTGCTTTTGCCTCTGTCCTCTGTAACAAGAGCTTTGGTGAGCTGCTCAGGTGGAGACAACCGTGTCACAGTCAAACCCCAGCCAAGGAAGGTCCTTGTATATTAATTATTCCCATTTATATGCAAGACCTCCAAAGCTGCACACAATGTTTCTGGAAGACAAACGGTATTTTTTTGAGATGCAGTACCCCAATCCAGAGCTTAATCTTTATGGATTTGGGAAACTCACCCCCAGATCTTGATACAGATTTTGTGTCCTTCTGTATTCTCTTTCTCCTGTTGCTTTTTATGGCCCTTGTTGAGCCCTGGAGCCCAACCGAGTCATCCGAGCCCTCAGCTGAAGCGTTGAGGGAGAAATGGGTCTTTAACGAGAGCTCAGATGGTTACCTGGACCAGAGCCTAGAGCAGCTGCTAAAACACAAGCCTCAGGACTCAGATCTTGTACTTAACACCAGGTCAAGCCAAAAAGCAATGAGACCCAGATCTGGTGGCTGTATCCCAAACGATTTCCTTTTTCCCACTTTCCTTCTGAAAAAAAAAAAGGCAGGGAGCATAGGATTTGTGGGGGAGCAGAGGGTAGGGATGTATTCCTGCTTTCTTTTTCCTCCACCTACATGTTCTCTGCTGACGCTGAGGTCTTCGTTACCAGTTTAAGGAAACCGGACACTGCAGAAGTGACCTCGGGCGGCAGGCTCGTTCCTGGAAGAGGAACGCCCACGCAGGGCTGGATGCCAAGCATTCATGTTCCGCGTCCAGCCCTGGTGAAATCAGTCATTGCCCATAGGAGAGAGGCCATGGCGGCGGTGTTTTTGCCCGGCAATCTCCAGGATGAAGCTACTTGCTCCGTCTGCCTGGAGTTCTTCAAAGACCCCGTGTCCATTGAGTGTGGGCACAACTTCTGCCGGGCATGCATCATCAAGAGTTGGAAAGACCTAGAGATGGATTTTCCGTGCCCGCAATGCCGTGAAGTCTTCCAGCAGAAGAGTTTCAGACCCAACCGGCAGTTGGCAAACATGTCCGAGATCATCAGCCAGTTCACTCTCCGTGGGGCCAAGGGTGCCGAGGAGGACGGGCTCTGCGTGAAACACAGGGAAGCCCTGAAACTCTACTGCAAGGACGATCGGAAAACCATCTGCGTGGTGTGCGACAGGTCCCGGGAGCACCGGCCGCACGCCGTGGTACCCATCGATGAGGCATCCGAGGAGTACAAGGTACCTGTCTATCTGTCAGACTGCCCTGAGGAAGACTTCCCAGGTCTTTCTGCCTCCCGGTCGTACGCATTGTGCCGTGTGTTTGTGCTCGCTTAACTCCCCGTGCGGTCCCTTGGCTTTCCCAAACTCGGCTTTGCGCTCAACCGCCCTGTAAAGTGCTGGTTGCTGCTTTCTAGCTTTCCAAGGACCTGGAAAATCCTTCTCCTCTCCAGATATGCAAAACTCTTTCATGTATTGACGTTATCTCTGCGGCTGGGGAGAGCAAGGGATTAAACGTAGGGCAGCCAGGAGGCTGTGAGACCGAGTTTCTCTTGTGCAAGATCCTGCCAGAGCCCTGGGCTTGAGCCACACAGTTATCATGCTGCAAACACTGCCTGTGGGCATCTGCCTTATCGGTAGGGTAACCGCTGACGGAGCAAACACCCACGTCTATTTTAGGTCTGGGCAAGCATCCAAAGGTGAATCTAAGTTGATTAAAGCCAGGCTGGGTTTTGCTTGTGCCAAGAGCAAAGGCAGGGGAGGCGGCAGCCGATGAAAACAGCGCGTGTACCTTTGGTTGGCATCCTCCACCTCCTTTCTTTGTGTTCCCTGCGTGATTGTGAGCTTGTGGGGGGGTCCTTGGGGGTTGTAAAGGTGGGTGTGGGCAGAGTGCGTCTGTACTTTCCTTGCCATTCTGCTCGTGTTTGCACGGCTGCAAAGAACAGTCTGCAGGCAGGATAACGCAGAAAGGGAAATCACGTGCAACGAAGGAAGTTACACTCAGCGAAGGAAGGAAATCAAATGCAGAAAAGAAAGAAAGAAAAATCAGTCATGTCTTTTTTTTTTTTTTTTTCTTTGCTCCTAGGAGAAAATCCAGGGACGCTTGGATTTCCTGAAAAAGGAGAGGCAAGAGCTGCTGGAGTTTAAAGTGAACGATGATAAGAAAACCCAGGAGCTCTTGGTGCGTGCCCTCAATGCAGTGCTCTGGGGTGGTGGGGACGAGGGTGCAGGCTGGGGTGTGTGGAGGGGGTTAGGACTCAATAAGCCGCCCCATCTCCTCCTTACCACTGCTCTGTCAGTGCCCAGAAAAGGGAAATAGATGTTTTTCTCATTCCTTCACCATCAAGATTGGCAATATATCAGCCACTGTCTTAGTAGACCAAAGGGATGGGTGCTGGAGCATTCCTGAGAGCTAGGCTGGCTGTGGAGCTCTCCTCCGCTGTTCCTTCCTCAGCCTGTTGTCCCAGGAGTAGCAGAAGTCAGCATGGCATTTACTGCGGGAAAGTCCCCATCCCCCCTGCTAATAACACCCTTCTAGACCATCACCCTCAAGACAAGTGGCTTTGAGCGGCTCGTGTCCCCCCTATTTGGGACAAACACCATCAGACCACTCTCAACCCATATTTCTGTTCTACCATCCCTATGCAATAGGGTTATTACCACAATTTGATGGCTTTGTGTTGTTTTGTTTTTTTTTTACCCAGCTGGCAGGGCTTGAAATAACACTAACCTGACAAGAGCCATGGTTCCATACATGATGCAAAAGGCAGGGCATGAAGACCCTTTTTTTTTGAGGGCTAGGTGGACCTGTTGGACCTGTGCTGAAGGGCAGCGTATGGTAAAGCAAATATAACACTTTCAACCTTGTCCATGCTGCCAAAGAGTGCGTTTCCTGAAGCAAAATGTTCCCATTTGCCCTTGGGCTTTGTCTTGAAGGGGACTTGTTGGTCTGTTTGTGATGACAACCCAAGTAGGACCTGGGATATTGGCAGAGCTGATAAACAGGAGCTCACAACAAGGCAGGGACTGGGGTTTATCTAAGAATACAGATGCCCCCAGGGAGGGAGAAATGTTGCTCCGAGTGGGTTTTCCTACACAACCCCTTCTCCCAGTTTGGGTGGTGGGACCAACAGATGACAGGGACTGGGGAAAACTCTTGGCCACTGGTTCCCACCTCTGCTTTGTTGAGTGCCAATTAACTCCCCACCACCCCTGGGGAGGAAAAGGAAATCTATGTGTCCAGTGTAGAAGAGAAAAATCACCTGAGATCTACTGTGGAGGTCCCAGACGTGGTTTGGTACCTCTTCCCTCCAGAAAGGGATGTGAGGACACAGCTGTGATGAAGATAACTGCTATTTCTGAAGAAACTGCCCATGGTGGCCTGTGGTCTCCCATCCACATCCATTTTCAAGGCCTTTGTCCAGTCATATCACACGCAATATCTCCTCATCCTTCCTCGGTCTCACACGCAAGCCAGCAAGCAGCAGCAATGAGCTGGCAGATGCTCCAAATTCACCAGGTGGCCCCTCTCCACCCCAAAACCATTGCACCAGCTTAAACCCCCTTTTTTTGTCTGCATTTCATTCCCAGAAAACCATCGAGAACGAGCGGCAGAAGCTGCTCTTGGAGTTCGAAAGGCTACGGCAGTTCCTGCGTGACCAGGAGCACATCCTCCTGGGGCAACTGGAGAAGATGGAGAAGAACATCGCCAAGAGACAGAATGAGAACATCACCGACCTCTCCAAGGAGATCACCCTCCTCAACAAGCTCATCACGGAGCTGGAGGAGAAAATCCAGCAGCCCATGCTCGAGTTCCTCAAGGTGAGACATTTGTGATGAAATGAGCCCTCAGGTCTAAGTCCTGATCCTTCTTCATCCTTTTGTAATGTTTCTGGATCCTGTGGAAGTGTTTTGAGGATAAATGTTGGGGTTTTTTTGCACCTTTGATAAGATGGGTCATGGCAGTATCTAAGTGTCCTGAGCTCTGCTATGCCAGCAATAACCCACAACAACTATTTCTGGCTCAGGAACATCCCAAAACAGAGGTGTGCTCTTCATATTTAATATCCTCCAATCAATTTTTCTTCCATGAATTTGTCTGGACCTTTCTACCACCCATAAATTCCTGTTTCAAGGTGTTCAAAGCTGAATTTACACCTTGCATGAAGAGCCACCGCAGTGGTACCAGCTAGATCCCTAAACTGAGCAACTCCTTTGGCAAACCCAGGTCTCGATGGGTTTGCAGTGCTGAAGGTTTGTGGCATGCCAAGTCATAGATGTCCACTCCTCCAGCTTAAAGGCATTGGTGAGGCCCTGGGATGGAGTTGACTGTAGAAACACGTGGAACTCAGCAAGACACAGCTCCTTGCCAGTTTTGGCAGCAGAGTCCTGGCTGCAGAAGGTTGGCTGGGACCTGAAAGCAGAGTCGGGTTTTTCAAGTCAAAATGAGCTATTAACCAAGCTGGAAAGTATGAGGGAGAGAGCAGATGGAGTCCAGGTATTGATTGCATTGCAAAGAAAGAAGCTGGAGCCAATCCAGCCCTCCCTCTTACCCAAACTCTCCTTCGCAGATGAAGTGGGGTTTGAAAAACAAACTTGAGCTGCCCATCCCAAAATCAAGTAGTCCTGTCCCCCAACGAATGACAAAAGGTTAATGGGTGACCTTCTTTTAATGGACAATATTTTGATTAAACTAAGGAGGTCGTGCTTCTGGTGCGCACAGATCTGCACGGAGTTAAATTCCCTCCGGGGCAACGTTGAAAGCACTGTAAATATTTGCAGATGGTTTCAGTACTTGGCTATGGGTGAGAATTCACTTCACGTGGTCTTTGCTCAGCTGTCACCATTGCATGCAAAAATGATCCTGTAACAATAAGTGATTTTTTTATTTTTTTTAAAAGGCCAGGTTGGAAATTCTTTGCCAACTCCAGAGTCCTTTTCCATTCCCTGGGAGATGGATATGGCTTTGTGTTGCCTTTGAATCACATCCAACATGGTTTACGCCCTTATTTTAAAGACATCAGAAAGGGCAAATAGTGGTATGGACTGGACCGAGCGTGGGTTTTATCTCAGGGAATTTTTGTCATGCTGCAACTGGTTATTGAGGGTATTTTAACCTGTAATTACCTCCATAATTCACCCTTCCTGAAGGCAAATAATTTCCACAGTTGGGACAGCCATCCCAGGGTGGGATGAGTTCCCCCTTGGAGGCACCTTAAACTCCTCTTGGTGGTGATCAGACCATGGAAGTCCAGATATCATGGAGATCTAGTTTAATGTCAGCTTTCCAGGTGGCCAGGTTACAGCAGATGATGTCCCTTTGGCTCTTGGGCAGGTGGATACTTGCAGGTGTCCTTCTGTATCTCAAGACTTCACACAGGACAGGTCGATAGGACCTTCTCGGAAGTGAGAAACCAACAAAGAGACCCTAAGAGCATCTCAAAGGTTGCTAGATGCCTACACTTGGGTTCACAACAGGAACGGTCAAATACCTGAACAGGAACCAGAGAGCTTTTTGCAGTCACCAGCCTTGAGTCCCAACTCACTTGGGCAAGGATAACCTGGCATGCTTTGAGCAATGGGATGGATGAGAGATCTCCAAAGGCACCTTCCAACCTAAATCACCCCATCATTCTAGAGGCATAAAGCTGGAGTACTGTATATAGGACCATTTGGGAGGCTTGGTCCCCACCCCAGAAGCAGCTGGGTCTTTAGCTGCGGTAGGTGGTTGTGTGGGATCTGGTGGGACTGTGGCCTTCCAAAGCAGAAAGCAAACATCTGAGGCACGGATCCATGCCTGCTTCTTGCAGCCATAAGGGATGGACGTCCTGATTGAGTTTAACGAAAGGGAATTGCTCTCGCGCTGAGTCAAGGGAGACACAGCACATCTTGTGCAGGGATTTCACTCCGTCTCTCTTTTTCCTTTCTAGGATGTAATGAGCATCATAAGCAGGTATGGAGCGCTGCTTCTCCCCTTCTTTCACGCTTTTTTCCCCACCAGCACTGTTTAAAGGTCAGTGTTCGCAATCCAGATGCTGGAGGCTGGCATCGGGGTAGATGGAGCTTGCCTCCTACTCGACACAAGCCTTGGGTCTCTTCCAGCTTCTTGGAAAACTTTGCAATATCGTGAAGTCTTTTCCTACCAGGTGGTTTCTTCAAAGGTCAAGTGAGACCAGAAACCCCAAGTCACCTTATTTGCCTGATATGGAATTGACCCAGGGCAATGATTTAGGCATCACTTAAGCTCCAAAAATGACATTTAAGCTGCAGCAAGAACAGCTGAGTGGGGGTAACCCGGCACAGACACCATTTCCAACACCAGCCGAGGGGATTTTCAAAGTTGACGTGCAAATCCCGGTGTCCTCAACCCAGGAGGGTTGAAATCCTGGTGTGATCCTTACAATGTATGCTGAGCCCTTGGACAGGCTGCCGGTGGGATGGGATGGGGTGGGAGTACTGCACACTGTCAACTGCAAACAAAAAAGTAAGTGAGGGAATAGCAATGATTTTCTTATTGTTTTTAATTTTTTTCTTTGCAGAAGTGATGACGTGAAGTGCCAGAAACCTGTACCAGTATGCACGGATATGAAAATGCACGTCTGCAACTTCTCCCTCAAGACTGTCGTCCTTGAGAAAGTCTTAAAGAAATTCAGAGGTACGTGAAAATTAAACCGGGGCGATTAAAATAGGCCTGGCCTTTACCAAGCGTCAGAGAAAAGGGATGAGGAGTGCTGGGGATGCTGCGGATGTCTCGAGGTCCCTTATCGTATGCCTGGCCGGCAGTACCGAAATAGGACAATAAATTATGTCGGAAAGGATTTCTGGACATGTGCATGAACCCTGTCAGGCTGCCAGTGAAGGAGATGTAGGATTTTTTTTTAAAGAAGGCAAAACCTGAGCCTGGCGCATCAGTTTTAGTGCAATAAAACCTGCAATATTTCACGTCTCGAATAGTTAGCAGTGGGGATAGCCGAGCTTTGCATTTAAAACCCAACTCTTTGCAGCAGTGCAGCAAAGCCACGAGATGGTGCTGGGGGATTTGGAGAGGAAGCGAGCACCAGAAAGAGCAGATCTGGAAAAGAAAAATCCCTAAATGCAAACTCTGCCCTGGAGCAATAATTGACTTAAAGGGTTGTACTAAAAGTTTGAAACTCATAATACGACGAGGAGAACAAAATATGGCAGAGCATGATAAATAAGGCTTGAATAAATCCTGCATTCTCTTGATGTCCAGAAGCTTTTTTTTTAATAAAAAAAAAATATATTTAGCAGGAATTTCCCTCCTTGCTTGTCCTCATTGCACAAACTGGTGTGAGCTGGCACTGCTCCATTCATTTCTTGCAGGCATGGTTTAGTGGGCATGGTGGCGTTGGGTGGAAGGTTGGACTTGGTGATCTTTGAGGTCTCTTCCAACCATAACGATTCTATGATTCTCTGATCCTCAGCTCTTGCTGCCTGTCAAGTCCCATGTCAGCAAAGACGGCACTTTGGCAATGTGGTGTGGGTGTAAATGTTCCCGTAAAGGAGAATTTTTTTAATTTTTTTTGGTTCCCTCTGGCTCTCTCGGTGTTGCCATTTACCTGCCTGTCTCTTCTTTTCAGAAAACCTGCGAGATGAACTGGGAAGAGGTGAAAAAGGTAAAAGGAAACTATTTAAGATGTAGCACCCTGGAGCAAAGACTTTAAATTGTGGTTGTATTTTGCAAAGCTGGTTTTGCAAAGCCAAAGAGAGAGGGAGAAAAAGAAAAAAGGTACTCTAGATTTCTTTTTTTTTAATTGTTTCTCTCTCGATGATTTCCAGATCCAGCCTGCTCAGTTCAAGAGTCAAAAGATGATTTTTCTAGCTGACGCCGGGGATCTGACAGCTAAGCTGGGTCCTTTCTACCCGTTTGCACTTAACAAAACTACAGTGCAGAACAGAAAGAGCAGATATTTGAACCCAGAAATGGGTTCGTACCCTTTCAAGCCACAACTTTAAGTCTGCCAGATTTTTTCTGTGGCCTGTGGTCGGGCTCCTGTTTCAACCAGGGTCTGGGGTGGAAGGTGTGAGCACTCCCTAATCTGCTCCAGTGTAAAGTCAGATGACTTAAACGCTGCGGAAAGTTGTTGAAATCATGAAAACAGGCAGGCGGTGGCTTCCAGACCGTGCCATGCTGGAGAAGACTTGCTCACCAGCTCTCCTGGCTTGGCAAGGGAGTGAGTTGGCATGAGAGGTGATGAATCTGCAACCAGCAAAACCATCCCAAGTTCAGCAGCGCTGGTGAGGATGCTGAGCCGGGAAACCACAATGATGGGCTCTGCGGTGGTTCTGACACCAGCCTGATCCCTCTGACCTTGCACTGCGGTGGGTGCAAGGCATGGGCAGATGCTGTTAAAGTCTGCCCTCATCCTCCATCCCCTTCGATGTTGAAGGATGCATAGCCATGCCCAGACAAACCAGAGCTACCCCAAAAAAGCATTTTTTAGAAGAGAAGGCTTATTGTTGCTTTTAAGGTGGTGGTCTTCAGCACGGGGCTTGCAAACCCCTTGGGGAAGGCAGAGGAGGACAAGCCACGGGTTGGATCCTTCCCAAGCTTAGAAGGGCCAGACTCTGCTCACAGACATCCCTCTGACACATCTGGAAAACACCAAAGGGTTGGCAAAGCAAAAGAAGAAAAGCTGATGACCACCGTTTAAAAACAAAATGGCAAAACGACCCTCACTGCATGTCCATGGTGGTGTGTGTGCACGTGTAGAGGTAGAACTCGGCCGGTGCATTATACCAGCAAACCCTCTGAAAGCAGACTGGGCCACAGCTTATGCTGCAGAGAGGTGGGGGATCAAGGGGTGAAGAAGGGACCAGCCGAAAACTCGTAGCAATCATTGAATCCCACTCCTCCGATTGCCCTTGTTTGTCTTTTCCTAGAGCTTTGAATGCTCTGATTTTTATTGTTTTTTTTTAAATGATGCCTGAGCTGCTGGAGTAATTTTTTTTTTAAATCAAGCCAAATCATCATTCACAGCCCCTGCAGCTGAGCTGAAGCTCAAACCCAAACCCAAAGGACTCCAGCAGCTGGAGATGCAAGAGGAAGGAAAACACCTTTTAAAGAAAAGATTGGCATCGAGGAGATTTGCTCATCCAATCCATTTTCCCTAAATTTTGCCAATGAACGCTTGAAAGCACCTATCTCTTGATCTGGAATTATAGCGCAAAATGCAGGAGATGCTATTTTAAAGCCAATCTCCCAGTTTTGGGGAGGAACCTGGTGCTTAAGTTCTAAAGGAAAAAAGGACCTACCCTTTCCTGTGGTTACTGTCACTCTTCCAACCCCTGTGAATCCCATCACGGGTCTTTTTGGACTTCATATGCAGTTTTCAGGCCCAAATCTATGGATTTTGGAAGAGTCTGTGAAGACCTTTCAGCTAAATAAACTCTGGTGCGGCATCCACCATGTTTCAGGTCCGAAGGACCCATCTTAGATTCCCCTAAAGGGTCTCATTCATTCATGGCAACTTTGCTGACTACAACCACAATTTGAGGTCACTAATGTGCTCGCTGTTTCCTTTAAGCCTGACTTTGATACTAACGTCTTTTCCTCTTCCAAACTTTGTCTACATGCATGTTTCTTTTGGGCTGTCCAGATGTGAGCTGGGGTGTAAAGATGTGCTTAGGTCATGGCTTTTCATGAGGACTCATCATCATGGGGCGTTTTGGGGACAGGTACTCAGCAATTTATGATCTGAGGGGTGTGCACACCTCATCTTGTGTGTCGTACATTAGATGAACCAGAAACAAAAGGAAAAAAAACAGTCAATTTATTTTGGGAAAAAAGTCTTGATCTAAGGTTCATTTTTATTGTACATAATTGCTAATCATTTGCATGCAGTTTTATTGTGTTCTTTGCTCCTAATGTCCTTATGTTGTGGTTACCCCAGCTCTTAGCAGCATGAGTTTTGCCCTCTCACGAAGGGAATTGGGGTGTCAGTGTGGGAGGACGGACAGACGAGTCCCCCCCGTCAGTGTTTGAGGGGTGCTGGCTGATGGCGTTGCTGAAGGGTCAAAGAGCCAAAGACTACAATGCAGTTTTAGGTCTCCCTCTAGGACACCTTGAACCACATCTTGGTCCTCATTTAACATGATTTGTTTTGCCGTGGTGTTCTTCACCTTTACCTGGTGGGGCTTAACCCCTAGTGAGGAAGTGAAAAGATGAGGTAGACGCTCATCCCATATCTTTAACTGGGATCTTCTTCCTCACCCACTTCCAAGTTTCTCACACACGTAGCTTGTCCCTCTGTGCTGGTAGAGAGAAGCAGCATATTTGTCAACATCTAAAACTACTCCTCTTAAAAATAGTCCCAAACCTCCAGGCTTCCTGCAGAGTCAATGGTGAGAGGAGGCATCTCAAGAACTGCAAAGCCAAGTCAACATCAGAACTTGGCTTTCCTTCACCACAGACTGTCCAGGGAGCTGAAGAGGAGCAGTTATTGAGGTTGGACTGTGGTTCAGCACCTGATAAAATCATCCCCAGCTTGGGTTTTTAATTGTTAAAATTCTTACTGAGTTACTATCGCTGTCACTGTTGTCATCAACAGAGGACCTGACGCTGGACCCCGATTCAGCAAACCATCTACTCATCCTCTCCGCAGACCTCAAGAGCGTGAGGATGGGCTGTAGGAAACAGGACCTCCCCGACAACCCCAAGAGATTCGACACAAACTCGCGGGTGCTGGCTACCACAGGCTTCAAGTCTGGAAGACATTACTGGGAAGTGGAGGTGGGGGCCTCAGACGGTTGGGCCTTCGGGGTGGCCAAGGAGTCCGTCAGGAGGAAAGGTCTGACGCAATTTTCCCCTGAAGAAGGGATTTGGGCGGTGCAGCAAAACGGAGGTCGCTATTGGGCGGTCACCTCGCCCCAACGCACCCCGCTGTGCCTCAGCCAGAAACTTAATAAAGTCAGGGTGTACCTGGATTATGAAGGGGAAGAAGTCTCCTTCTACAACGCTGACAACATGCAACACATCTTCACCTTCAACGTTGCCTTCCAGGAGAAGGTTTTCCCTCTCTTTTCAGTCTGTTCCACCGTTACCTACATCAAACTGTGCCCCTGAGACTTCTCATGGGCTTCTCCGAGGACCTGTCTCCATGGTCTTCACTGGACGGTGCCTGGACGGCAGCGATGAGCGCAAGAGACTCTTAAATCAACCATGCAGCCCGGTTTGTTGCTACGTAGGCAGACAGCTGATAGATGGGTAACCAGGTAGTCAGGGAAAAACATCACAAGGAAGGTCTTCAGGTCAACTTAAAACTGAGAACAACTATTGAAATCATCAGCAATCCCCAGAAGGTCGTGGTCACAATCTTAAAGCCATCTCCGAACCAACTCACCTCTTTGGCGAGAAAGAAACCACCGATAGTTGGTTTGTGGCTCCAAGTCTGATAGTGGACGGGTGTTTTTATTTCCTTGTGTGGGTCTAAGGCTCAATATTAGAGCTAGTAGGGGCTGGGGTGGACTGTCCACCCCTTTAGAAGTGTCAATGACTTAAAAATTAAATGTTTAGTGGGTAAATGTCCTGTGGGAAAGGTGGGGATAGTAACACTGAGCAGGTCGCTTTGGGCTTCCATCCAAAGTCAGAATAGGCAAAGCTCCTTTGTTTGATCGAGTGAAACCAAATCAGAAAGTTTTGCTCCTCCTGAAGTGAATTTAATGAGGATTTTCCACTGTTTTATGATGCTCTTGCTCTGACAAACTGTAATTGCCACCTCTGTGCCAAAAGTGGAAATCCTGGCCGGGTGCCTTCACTCCTGTGAGATTTAGGAGGAGGTAATTAGGCTTATTAACTGCTCCTGGGGAGTGATTGGCTTTCAGTGGGTCAGGATGCTCAGTGAGGGTGCTTGCACCCTTGTGCTGGGCTGTGTGAGTGGTTTTAAAGGGTCTCAGCTGGAGTTTCTGGCTTTTTCCCTCTTCTTCCTGCTGGGAAGAAATGTCCCCAGTGAAGAGCGGGTGCCTGGTTACTTATTCCAGCAGGTGCTCCTAAAATCTGGGATAATAATTGTACTCCATAGGTTATTTTTGTGATGTTGAGGTGGTGGTCCGAGCTGTCCCAGGTGATCTAAACCACATGGTCACCAAGATCTGACCTGTCTTGGAGTCAAGCTGGGGTTGAAGAGGTGCTGTGGGCTTTTGGTTGCCCTCTCCATCAGCTTGTGTAAATGCTCTGTGCTTCAGTTCTCCATCCACGGCCCCTCTGGGCAGAAGGGAGGTATCGCTGCTGCTCTGCAAAAGGCTGAAAAGTGTTTGTGGTTTGTTTTTTTTTTTTTTTTCTGAAGCAACAAATCTTGATGTTGCTCAGGTGTGTCTGTCCTACTGGATGTGAGCAAGATGTTTCTGAATTTTGGTGCTCCTGTCTAACTCCTCCTGAGGTCTCCTCTATGTAGAAGATGTTGTTTTCACGATAACTTCTCCAGGTTATCCTGCTTTGCCCATAGTAACCTAGATTTTGGGTGCTGAATCTTATATTTCCTCAGGCTCTCTTTACTGCTCAGTTCTCAGCAAAATCACATGTTTACCCTCATCTTCTCTTTTCTTTTTCTGGAAATCCTCACTCTTTGCTGAGACAGCAAATGTTTAACAGGCAGCTTGCTTTGTTCGCTGTTGCTTTTGCCAAAACAAAGCAGCCTTTAAAAAATAAGCAGCGTATTATTGTCTGAAGTGATGAAAAATACCGTTTCTGGCTTTGGGGCATTGTTGGCTGGCTTTTTAACCTTTTCTAGAAAACATGTTAATCCTCTTTGGGAAATACAGAGTTGGGGTGAGGGGGGAAGCTTCTTTTTAATCAAGAACATTGTTTCCTGGCTGGTTCTAAGATGAGAAAAAGACATTTCTGCTCATAGCTGATCTTCGTATGCGCTCAAACCTACTGGCACAACCCTGATCATCTCCAATGCCAACAATTTGTTGGTTGAACAAGTGAATTTCCTACGTTTTAGGGGTTTTAACTCCTTTCTCTGCAGTAAATCTGTGTCAAAGCAGCAGAACAAAATGAAAATGCTGTAGTCCTCTCCCAGGGCACGCAGACCCTGTGGTTGCCCTAAACACCTTCAGTTGTTTCCACCACCTTTGGAGAGCGGCCGGACTTGTGCAAAAAGTGACGTCAAAACCCAAACAAACCAGAAGTGGAGTTGAATCCATAAGACAACACCTTTATGTTGCTATTTGGCAAAGAGGTGTGCTTTCCCCCCCTCCCCCTGGTTTAGAGGTGTATCTTCCCATGCATCGTTGAAGGTTTTTCCCCATGCGCAGCCTTAGCTCTGTCCCATGTGACGGGTATCTGGCCGGGAGCTACTGGAGATGAAGCACAATCCATCTCCTATGAGATGTATCAATGCAGGATTAGGTGAATTCCAGATGCCATTAGTCATAAAAAGAGCCAGAGGTGACTGGTTTAGGGATGAACATCTCCATTTTCAGCTGGTGGGTTGTTTCCTACCCTGAGAGTCTACTTTTATTTTTTTTTAAATGAGTTTTGGCTTTAAATCCACATTATTTAAAGCTGCAGCAAGTCTTATAAAGGTCAAGCTGTGAACAAGTGAGAAAAATGCCTGAATTTTCTAAGCTCCATCCATTGCTGAAGCTACGCAGAAACAATATAAAACAATTATAAAATA